ACCTCCCGGGTTGTCCATGTGCACACACGCACACACGCACACACACACACACACACACACACACACACACACACACACACACACACACACACATCTCCAACACACAAACGCACAGACACAAACCTCCGGTGTTGTCCACAATCACCAACGCCTGTGCACCAGCACGTTGAGCGTTCAATGTTTTCTCTGCGAAATTGCAGCCGCCTCGCATAGCAAGCACAATGTGTCCTCCTAGCTGCAGCATCAACAAAGACGAAAAGGGAAAGGGGAAAAAGCATGCCACCAAAGCCGCTCCGCATAAGTCAGTTCAGACTCTCTTTCCAAGGGGCAGTTCGCTAAAGGTCCAGCTGCGCAGATGCCACTGCTCCTAGTTACCTAAGTGGGAGAAAACCCTCCAAGAGCGGAGTTATGTATTTCATATTCCAAAAAAAAAAGAAAGAGAAAAGAAAAGAAAAATTGGAAAATTGAGAGCACACAACAACCAACACACCACAGCCTTCTCTGGACCCACAGTTTTTCTGCCCCGTTTGCTGCGGCAATAATCGCCAACAACTGAACGTGTCTGAATGCTTACATGCATAAATTCTCCCGCTGTACGGAGCTGTTATCTCCCATGTGCTGAATTCATTATAATTCACCTCCAACTCCGAAAATGTAAGGACCATCCAGAACACAGCTGGACTGAGAACACAGCTGATTTCTGAGTTTTGCCGCTGGAATGAATGCCTTGCTGAGATTCCCGCTTTTCGCTGAGTTTTCTAAGTCTGAGTGTGTGTGCGTGTGTTCGCTGGTCTGCGTGCCTGTCTGAGTGTTTGTCGGCCTAAGTGTGTGTGTGGCCAGCCAGGCACTTGTTTGTTTGCAAGGCCCGCAGGGCCGGTACTTACTTGTGGCCGTGACTTTGGGGTTGCAGCGGGGAAAAAAAACTCTCAAGTGGCCGAAGGTGTAGCTTAGGGCACACTCAAGTCGCGTAGTGTCGGTTACCGTAGAGCACTCGAGTAGCGGTAGGCCGAGCAGAAAAGGACAAAAAGAAAGTTAGTACCTTTAGGGGTGCAAGTCCGGGGGCCAAGTCCGGGGGCCAAGTCCCACTTAACCGAATTCTCAATTTCTGACCGTAGATTACGATGATCAGCGGCCAGAAATGAAGAATCAGGGTAAGTGGGACTTGGCCCCGGTAGCATAGGTCTAGGGCCTGTAGTCTAGATATCAGGTCTGCAATGATGTGTCCCTCCAAAAGGGAGGAGGTAACGGTAGCTTGGAGGCTGCGCATGCTGCTTGGAGGTCGCGCAGCACACTCCTCCCACCGGCCGTGCGGCTGGCTGCCGGGTATATCCCAGGGAGGACCCAAGTGCTCCTCCTCATTTGCTGCATGCAAGTTTGCGTGTCACGCTGCTAAAGCGCCTGGAGGTTGAGCTGCAATGACTTGCTGATTTCAACTGCCGAGACTGACTGCAAGGCTGTACAGTGTACTGCTTTGTTTGCTGTGTGCTTTGCAGTGTTTTTTTGTTTGCACTGAGGGCCGCCCGCTGTTCTAAAAATAGCCTGAATTAACAGCAGTAGGGGCTGAGTGGTTACCGGCCCTAAGTGGCCTTGAGCCCTAAGTGCAGCAGTAGGACCGATTTCGTAGAGGCCGAGTAGGCCCTAACTGAAACGGTACCGGTAGACCCTAGGCTAGGATAGTGTAGAATCTACAAGTAGGTTCGGGTAGGAGGGTTTAGGACTTTTGGACTGTTGATTTTCGGGAGGCAGCATTTGGAGAAGCCAAGCAAGTTGGCGGTGGCAATTGTCTACAGGCGGCATCCTGAGACCCCTGCTGTGGACGGCAGCCATAGCTGGCCTTCTGAAGGTTGCCGGAGCTGGGGCATCCTCAGCGCATCTACCCCTGAGGGTATCTGCGTCTGGCCAGGCTACATCGAGGCTCCTCACCGAGTGTTTGTGGGTGGCGGCAGCCATAGCTGCCTGTTTTCTTCGTCAGAGTTGTCCATCGGCACTGAAGACTCCATCGCAGGATCTGTTCTTCATCTGGGTGGTTGGCGCTGGCCTCTGGGAGGCTGTTTTGGTTGTGTGCTACTAACTGGGTGTAGGGTAGAGACTCGAGAGTGGAGTGTGGGGTTCTGAGTGTGGCGAGATACTGGAACAAACTCTGCCGCTGGGATGAATGCCTTGCTGAGCTTCCCGCATTCTGCTGTGGTTTCCAAGTCTGTGTGTGTATACGTGCCTGTCTGAGTGCTTGTCGGCTGAGTGTGTGTGTGACCCGCAAGGGTACTTGTTGGTTGAAAGGCCCCGCAGGCCCGGTACTTACCTGTGGCCGTGACTTTGAGGGTTGCAGCGGGGAAAACACTCAAGTAGCGGGGGTAGGCCCGCGACACTTAGAGCAGCGGGGAAAAACACTCAAATAGCAGGTAGGCTGGTGCCACTCAAGTAATGGTAGAAGTGTCGGGTACTGGAGGCGGAGCAGAGGAAGACAAAGTTGGCATTTTTAGAGGCCCAGTAGCGGTAGGTTAGAGGTAGGCCGGCCGGTACCAGTCCAAGTAGCCTGAGTCTAGGGCCTGTCCGGACGATAGCAGAGCCTAATATGATGTTTCCCTCCGAAAGGGAGGTACCGGTTGCTGGGAGGCCGCTCGGCCTAGGAAGTCACCGCCCAAGAGGCCAGTAGGCCGCTATATCTTCCGGAGGAGCAAGCAGCTCCTCCTCATTTGCGGTATGCAAGGATTGGCGACATGCTGCTGAGCCAAGCGCTGGACTTGTGCAGCGCTGCCTGGAGGTGAAGAGCAGCTGGGCACTCAGCCTGGCTATGGCAAGCAGCCCAGCTTGAGGAGGAGGAAGAAGGGGGCGAAGGAGGAGAGTGGCGAGGCACCTACCTGGCTCTGCTGGACACCATCTTCATTACCTTGTTGGGCGCTGCATCTGGAAGACCCCAGTTGCGGTAGTGCCGCACCAAGGAAGCTCGAGGTGGAGTCAGGCATGGCGGCTTAGTCAGCAGCGGCATAGCTGCTTTGGGTTGTCCTTTGGACAGGAGTGCAGCAACATAGCTGCTTTGTGTTGTCCTTTGCACAGGGGGTCAGAGCCCTCAGTTGTCCGCCATAGCCTAGGCTTGTGAGAAGTGGAAGAAGGGGGGAAGCCATAGCTATGGTGGACCTATGGAGAGGTCAGCAGTAAGACCATATGCCATACTAGTTCCCATCCCAAGTGCAGAGGAAAGATGGGAGAAAAGTCACAACTCTGCCACCACCACCCCCCCCACCCCTTTCCCCCCATTTTTTCTGGTCTGGACTCGTTGCAGGGGTATTATGGAAAGAACGTTCCATTCCGATAAAAGGGCAGTTCTGAAACATTCCGCTGCTGCCTTTTTTTTTTTTTTAAGGGAAAAAAAGGGCACCGACCTTGAGATACCATACTAGTCGAACTGAGCAGAGCCCCTGATGATTCAGAAATTTTGTATACTACTCGAAATTTCGTTCATATAGTTGGATCCAGATTCGAACTCAGGTCTGTATTTGAACACTTCTTGGGAGACCAAGTGAGATAGGCCCAGTGGTCATTCCACTGCTTGTCAACGTTGCTTTTTTGGTGCCTTTAATTCAAAATTAAATTACTTTGTTTTTCTTTTCCCCGCCGAAATTCAGCCCCCGGTCCGCTGAGGGTGCGCTCATACCAGCAGCCAAACTTTCTATTGTTCAATTTTGTTTTTCTTTTTCCCCCCGAAATTCAGCCCCCGGTCCGCTGAGCTCATACCAGCAGCCAAACTTTCTATTGTTCATTTATTTTATATTACTTTTATTTAAACCACCAGTACCTCCACGTTTTTAGGCCGTTAACGCGGTGGCTGAAACGGTGCACCGCGCGGGTCCATGTGCATTTGCGTCAGAGCCTCCCCAGAGGGGGCCAAAGACCCCCCGCCGGCACTGGTGGTTTAATAAGTGTATCGGTTATTTACTGAAAAGATTCACGAATCTCAGTACCCCCAGTTCAGCCCCGAGTCCCAACCTTGAGTCCCAGTCCCAGGTCTCAATCTTGAGTCTCAGACCCAACTCCCAGTCTTGGGTCCCAGTCCTGAGCCTCAGAGCCAAGTCCCCATCCCGAGTCCCAGTCCCGAGTCCCAGTCCCGAGTCCCAGTCCCCAGTCCCAGTCCCAGTCCCCAGTCCCAGTCCCGGGTCCCAGTCCGACTTCCATTAGGGGTCTTAGCCACTTGTACAGTATTCGCAAACGCTCCAGAAAAGTAGTTTTCGCTTGTACCATGATTGCTGAGCCGCAGGCAGGTTAGTAATTAGGTCGTGGTAGAAGGTCTCGGATAGATCAAAGTTATGGGACCTGGGACTGGGAGTTGGGTCTGAGACTCGAGATTGAGACCTGGGACCTAGTTAATTAGGTCGTGACAGGAGGTTTCTGATAGATCAAAATCAAAGTTATGTGTAAAAGATTGTCTATTTGCAGGGAGGCACCACAACCTTCGGCCAAGATAACACGAGTCGTTAGGCCAAGTGTCAGCCAGTCCAACCAAGCAGCCAGATCCAAGGAGAATCCGTAAGCTTCTGGAGGCGGCACAGGCCAGGGAACCAACCCATAACCAGCAGAAAGCAGTCTGGAAAGCGGAGCAAAAGTATAAAAGTCACTTGGACGCCAACACATATGCTTCGCACTCAATGCGGAAGCGCTGCTGTGGTCTTCTGCGTTGAAGAGGCGACAGAGCGAGTGAGAGAGTGTAGGGCGGCGTAGTCAACAGCCCTGGCCGCCATAGCCATAGCTGTGGTACGAGACACAGAGACAGACAGAGAGAGAGAGAGAGAGGAAGAAGAGAGAGGGAGGAAGAACAAGTCACAGCGCCACCTACCTGCTGGTTAGACTCATTGCAGGCATTGAAAGGTTCTATTGCCACAAGCGGCAGTTTGGAAGCGTTGGGCTGCTTCTCCACTTTGCTTCCGTAACAGCTCGCGATGCCCATAATCTTCGACGACGGACGAGAACTGTCATCTTCGCCGCGCCATATCTGGATGCTAACCTGCAGGTCGCACAAGATAACAAACGACCAGGCATTTTCAAAAACTAATAATTTTAAATTTAAATTTTAAAATCATATATAATAAATAATTTAATTAAAGGGGGAGGGAGGGTGGGGGGTGGGGAACGACAGTCAGATGCAGGCAGCCGAAAGAGATTCTATCAGATCAGCAACAAGCTCGACTTGCAATCAACAGAGGAGAGGTCCCACTAGCAAAGGGGCGATTAACGCCTGAATCTGGACGTATTTGTGGAGAGGTGCGGAAATCGCAACCAATCTGGTTTCCTGCATCTCTGCAGCGAACACACATCCAGATTCCGGCGCTTAATCCAATCCCCCCCTTTGCTAGCGGGACCTCGCCCCATGGTGAGGTCTCAAAGTCATACTTACCATTAAAAGAGACGACTAGGGCACATGTGCACCGGGGAACTTTTTCAACGGAATTTATCCGTAATTAGGACCGCATTCAGTCGAGCAAGTCCTAATATGAGTATGACCTGCTCCCAGTGTGAGCATGCACATGCACATGGACTGACTATGTAATGGAAAGCCATTGTGGAGGAGAGACTGCGTGTTTGTGCTACCTTTTCTTCTATTTTTTTTCGTTTTTTTTCTTTTTTCTTTTTTTTTTGGCGGGGGGGATGGCTCCACACATACTCTGACAAGGGAGTTTATGAGACATGCTCGCAACTAAGACAATTGCGACTGAATCTGACCTTGTTTCCACCCACATGCATCCTCCAATGCCCTAGGTCGACTACCTCCAGTGAATATCACACCCGGCCAATCAGCCTCAATTTTTTTTGTTTCTTCTTTCCCTTCTTTCCCTTTCTACCTTGTCTCCCCCCCACCCCGCACCCCTCTTCTGCCATCTTCTCTTTTTTTAATTAAAAAAAAAAAAAAACAGCCCCCTTCTATTCTTGGGGGACATCAGTCCGGTTACTCATTCCCGGCAAGCACAAGTTTGAGAGTAGCAAAGCAGAAGAATGACAAGCAAAAAAATGAAGGGGAGGACCAGCTCACTTCCGTCTTCTCCTGAACATAGCGCACCCTGATAATGAACGTATACAAGCTAACTTTCCAGTCCTTTACAGTCAGAATGAAGGTGTGTTGTGTTCGGGGGAAGACGTTAGTCCTGACAGCCGGGGCAAACTAGTGGATCCTGATAATAAATGTATTCAAGCTAACTCTCCAGTCCTATACAGTCAGAATGACGGTGTGTTGTGTTCGGGGGAAGATGCTAGTCCTGACAGCTGGAGATGCGCCAGCCTACCACCTTCCCCTGAATACAACGTACGGTCATTAGATCTGTATTTGGGGTATCTTTCAGTCTAAATACAGATATAATGACAGTTCGTTGTATTCTGGGAAAGAAGGCAGCCTATGTTCTGTTTACGTTCCTATACCTTCTTCACCCAAGAGAGAACACGTGGTCGGTATCAGCTGTATGTGGGGCAACTTTCAGTCTAGGTGCCTGCCTAGCTAACTTTCAGTCTAGGGGCCTGCTGCCTAGTCGAACCACTCACCATCCACCAACGTTTTGCATGCATCAGGACAAATTCCACGTCCACATTCGTTCAAATTTTTGGCGGATGCCGAGTGATGCAACTTTCGGTCTAGATACAGTGATAACGACCGGGTGTTCTATTCGGGTGAAAAGAGGGGGGGAGGGGGAAGGGCAGTACTGCATGTCAGCATGCGACAAATAAAAGACCAAAAAAAAAAACAACTGAAAAAAAAAAAAAAAAAAAAAAAAAACGAACAGCAGACATATTTATGGGCCAGGTTCAAAAACAAAAAAACGGAATCATCGGCAATCTGCCAAAGTGTGCCAGCCATCCTGACGCGCACAGATGCAGAGCAATAACTGTACACTGCCCTGCCGCACTGCATGTCAAGCTGCTCTCCAGAAAAGCTCCTGTTTCTTTCTATTTTTCAAAAAAAAAAAAAAAAAAAAAAAAAAGCGTTTGTATGGCCCCGTCTCCATTTCCATTTTAGGGAGCTCCTGTTTTTACCACACAATTACCGAACCCTAACCGTGAGGCAAAAAATAAGGGTCCCCCAAAGGGCCCTCACGGTAAAAACTAAGTATCCGCACCCAAGAGCCTAGCTCAGTGGGTACACCCATGAACTGTTGAAATACAGACTTGTGTTCGAATCCAGCTGATGGAACTTGAAAATTGAAACCAACTACTAATAAATTGCTTGGGGTCGGTCAGCTCAATGATAATATCTCAAGACCGTCACCCTTTAAAAAAAAAAAAAAAAAAAAAAAAAAAAAAAAACTAAGTATCCACCAAAGGGCCTAGATCGGGTGGTATATACTATATACCCATGAACTGTGTTGAAATACAGACCCAAGTTCGAATCCAGATGCTGTGTCAGATGAACAGAATAAAATAATTATGAGCTCGCTGGGGACGGTCGCACCAATGGTAAAATATTAAGGCCGTCAACCTTTAAACAACTAGTACCTTTGCCGCGTGGGAAAATAGCGGGCCTCGGGTAGGCGTCCGACCTTTTCAGAGGCCGAAACAAAATGACGGCCGTCGATCAGATTTATCAATGGCAGTCATCGTCGGGCCCGACCTCCAAATATTCAGGAGTTTGGGAAAACTGCCAGTTTAGTACCTTTGCCGCGTGGGAAAATAGCGGGCCTCGGGTAGGCGTCCGACCTTTTCAGAGGCCGAAACGAAATGACGGCTGCCAATCAGATTTATCAATGGCAGTCGTCATCGGGCCCAACCTCCGAATATTCAGGAGTTTGGGAAAACTGCCAGTTTTCCCTATTTTCCCACGTGGGAAAGGTACTAGTGGTTTAACAAAAAAAAAAAAAAGAGCAGAAAAAATGAAATTAAGGGTCCTGTGCTTTGGGACATCCGTCAAAATTGTGAGCGATACGGAGAAGATTACCATGGCCCTGCACAAGGATGGGATGCAGACACTAAGGGTCCCGTTCAACGCACCCAGAAAAGTCTGTAATTGTTATAAAAAAAAAAAGAAAAGGGAAAAAAGAGAATAATTGTTGGTCCCACATAGTTGCACTCCACTGTAATCACGTTTCCAAGAGACCACAGATGTGAAACGTTTCTACGACAAATCCTGCCATAGAGATCCTACAACAACACAGTCATTTCCAAGAGCACAAATGTGAAAACTCCAGCAGGGGCAACGTGCCACTCGCAGGACAGCCCGAGGGCAACTCCCCCAAAATACCTTCGATTTCTGGGCCCGAAAACGGTGGGCCCTCTCTCTCTCTCTCTCTCTCTCTCTCTCTCTCTCTCTCTCTCTCTCTCTCTCTCTCTGTGTGTGTGTGTGTGTGTGTGTGTGTGTGTGTGTGTCTGCAGGTGTCAGACCACCCACCTGCCGAAGCGGGATCGGCTGAAACTCAGCGTTCTTCCTCCCCCTTTTACCCCCCCCCTACTTTCAGGGCATACTCACGCGAGCAGTTTCGTGAATGTGCAATGACTTGCTGATTCTGCAGCCTGCGACCCGTCGACCCGAGGCTGTAACATAGGTAGGTTAGTTTGTTATTTTGTTTGGCTGAGGGCTAACCGAGAGATTTGTCTGCGAGGAAAATTTGTGAGGGACATATCTGTAAATTCATAGAATTTACAGGCCCGCACTAACTCCAATTTCCTACAGCTACCCTAACTGCGCATAGCAGACCCGGGCTACCACTAGGACAGAAGGGCCTACGGGCCTATGCTGCTAGACGGTCCTATAGCCTATGGCCGGGTAGGGAGAGGCCAGGGAGGCCGAACAGAAACGGTACAGTGTAATCACCTCTGGAGGTGAAACTCCAACAAAAGAAGTAACCCTCAACAGTCTGCAGAATCCCCTAAACTTCTGATTACACTGTAAATGATAATCCACCTTAACCCCAGTTTTGGTTAAGCACCAACTGATACCCCATTGAGGAGGTGGGGACCACCAACCACTGCCCTCCTGACGAGTCGGTGAAACTCCGAGGAAACAGTTTGTCATAGCCCCTCGTTTGATGTCCTCTTCTCCCTCTCCGCCTACGGTTTACCGGGCAGCTCTGTTTGACAATATATATATATCGTCAAATAGAACTGCCCGGTAAACCGTAGGCAGAGAGTGAGATGGAGAAGAGGACAACAAACGAGGGGCTGTGACAAACTGTTTCGTCGGAGTTTCACCGACTCATCAGGAGGCTGAACCCTCAACAGTCTGTAGAATCCCCTCACTGATTACACTGTAAGTGATAATCCA